TCAGGTCTCAGTGAAAACTGGCAGAAGAAATGGGTAAAAAGGAAACACAAAGAAGAAAGCTCAAGCATTTAAAGGTGTTTTAGAATTAGGAATTCTTTCCTTTCTGCATCTTATTTTTTCCCTTTCACTCATAGCCACTAAATATTGGTAACATCCTGTTAAACTGCTCCCAGGATGGAAAAAACAAACAAACAAACAAAAAACCCAAACCAAATAAAAAAACCAACACCAAAACACAGTGGTCCTTCCAAACCCTTATTCAGATACACCAAGTAATTACTGAGAGAAATTGATTCATATAATTTAAGAAGACACTCGTATCCTCACCTTGGGAAAATAGGTATTATAAAATGGACTAATATAATATGTTTTACCTCTGAATTCATCCTTTAATGATAGCAGAAAATCCTAGTAGCAAAACAAGAAGGTGTAGCCACCCCGAGAGCTGAACTAATGAACAATTTGCAAAGTGAGCTGGCCAAAACCAACATCAAAACCAAGAAAAGATTCTGCCATGTACTGCACTGCCATCTTCCTGCTGCAGGCAATACCTGTTTTCCATGGAGAATCCCTGTGGCTGTGCTCGTTTTTTTCAGTGCACATAGCCATTTACAATCCTTTTGATTTTGACAGGATCGACTCTGGAATAAAATCCTATCTTTCTCACCCTTTCCAAAGGTAAGATAGGAGTAAGGTATATTTCTGGACTTCAACATATGAAGTCCATAACTGTTACGTCAAAAATCTTGCTAGTAACTGAGATGATCCTTCATAGAAAAAATCCAGCTTCCTCAACTAGCATTCACATTGAGGAAGGCAGTGATAACTACTGAATTATTCACAGTTCATTAATTCCCCTAAAATAAATTTCAACACAGTTCTATAATTCTTATTGCTCATAAAGTATATATAAGTATACATATACTTAGACACACAGAGTTAAAGTTGGATGCGATAAAGTTCCATGCAATAAACCAAAACCAAAGAGTTTATAAGTGGGCTAACCCTTAAAAGTGCAAGGAAAAAACTGAACACGAAAAGGCTTTGGTTCTCATATTTTATGTGACAGAAAATAACAAATCATGGTATTACAATAATTACTTTTCATGCATTGAAAAATAAGGTTGCAATTTTAGGGAAAGTATTTTCTCTCAGGAATTCTGCAAAGCCATATCAAACTCCAAACATTTTGCTTCTCCTTTATTTTACAAGGCTTTGGTGGTGTATGTTAGAGACCCTGACTCAATCAATTATCAAAGCACAGAATAAAAATCTCAGCTGCTGCAGCAGGCAAAATACGTATGAAAAGCTCTTGAGACTGACCTTCTTACACAGTTTGCTGTCCTTCTATTTCTATTCTAGGAAAGAAGTATTGCCATAACACTCTTTTATGATATTTCATAGAATCATCATAGAATGGTTTGGGTTGGAAGGGACCTTAAAGACCATCTTAGTTCCAACCCCCCTGCCATGGGCAGGGACACCTTCCACTAGACCAGGTTGCTCAAAGCCTCATCCAGCCTGGCCTTGAACACTTCCAGGGATGGGGTGTCCACAGCTTCTCTGGGAAACCTGTTCCAGTGCCTCACCACCCTCTCCAGGAAGAACTTCTTCCTGATATCTAATCTAAACCTCCCCACTTTCAATTTAACCCCGTTACCCCTTGTCCTGTCACTACAGGCCCTTGTAAAAAGTCCCCCCCAGCTTCCTTGTAGCCCCTTCAGGTACTGGACGGCTGCTATAAGGTGTCCCCAGAGCCTTCTCTTCTCCAGGTTGAACAAGCTTCTAGATCTAATTCTGTGAATTAGTTGAAAAAATCTTAAATATGACAGAATAAACTGGGAAAAAAACCAAGAAACAACCAGCCTGACAAAAGTAGGCATTAAAAAAATGACTTAAACACCCCAAAAAATCAAAACAACCGAAAAAAAACCACCAAAAAAAAAAATCAAACCACAAACAACCCCAAAAACCAAGGCAAGAAGGCAAGGTAAATCTGCATTTGATAATCTATATGTAAAACAGATCTGTCACTGTATCTTCATTCTCCTTTTACCAATACTTCATATCAGAGAAAGCAGGATAACACATAGTCTTTCCTCTCAGTTCTGTTGCTTAATTAGTCAACATCAAGTAAAGCCTATGATAAAAATAATTGAGCTGGGGCTTTCAATCTCTAAAGTGAAGCATCAACACGTAGGACACTCTCTCAAGCTATGGGTTTCATATACTGTGAATGGAAAAAAGAACATGGATATTCTGCACAGAAGGACTATAGAGGACATCAATCTCAACTTGGACTATAAATGTTATTTAGTCAATAGTGCATGCTTCCATTTCTTTTAAATATTTATAAGAAATTTGGAATGTATCTAAATGTATGTAAGTTTTAACTAGCATTCCCATTATATGGCTCTTCTTTTCAATGATGACATTTGACATACAAAACTTAGAAAAGATTTTTCTCCCATCATCTTCTGAATTGCCAAGGGAAAAGCATATGTGACATAATACACAACAACTGCATTTTGGTACAACGCATACATAACCATGACAAGAGTCAAACAAATCCACCAGCAAGTTGGTAATAGAAAGTTATTGGTTAAGAATATTTTACTACAAGTGACAGTATTTAAAATATTCAGCACGCAGTGTTTCCTCATCTTGATCCTCATGGTGAAGAGAGACTCCCTCTGATGCTTTGTCTTCTTAGTTTTAAATGTATTAATCTCTAAGCTAAAAACAGGCAATTGCTAAGATAAAAAAGTATTGTCAATGTTTTCAATACATTCACAAGAAACAATCAAACCTGTACTGCAGCGCTGATGTTTTGCCATCACTATCTTTAAATTTCCATTAGGTTACCAAATGTTACTACTTTTCAACTTGAAAAAAGTATAAGTTGAAAAGTGTTTTGTAGACACACCAAAACTAAAGGCTTTGTTTTAAGTTTTTAAGTTTTTAAGTTTGCTTTAAGTTTTAGTTTTTTAGTTTAGAGTTTTCTAATGTGTCATATCTCTTTGTCACTTACAATCGTTTCCTTACCTCACTCAAAGAAAAGTGACAGATTGAGACACTCTCCCATGACATTTTTAAGTGAAATACACTCAAACCATAACAACACTCACAGAAAAAAATTCATAAGTATTTAAAAAAATTGCCAGTAACTACAGGAATATATGAAATCATCAAGTCCAAAATCTTGCCATTAGTGGCAATGAAAAACATGCAATCCTGCAAAACATTAAAAATGTGGGTTACATTTTCCTTATACATAATCTTTTATGTATATCCATGAGACTGATCACAATCTAAGTAATCTGTGCTGCTCAGAAGACAAAGGAACCAAGCAATTCAGATTTCCACTGGCGTGACAGGAATATCTTGTTAGACCTGAGGTTGTTCTAAGGGTCAGGTTCACATCTATTAAAAGTTTGGATCCAGCCGTCTCTTCTTATCTTGCTTTGTGTTTTCCACTCCTTTCCCTTCCCCAAATGACACCATTCATTTAGCCTGGACCATTTCCAGAATAATACATAAACACAGTGACTGCCAGAATTTGTTCATGTAACATCTCTCCCTGTGCAGAATTACCCGTCAGGATACTGGTACATTTTCTGAAACTTATATTTCTTTCTGGAGGACTGAGTCACTTCAGAAACAGTGCTGGGTGAGAATGTGCTCTTAACTGTACCAACATATAAAAAAAAGTACTGTTGATGCTATTCCATGGAAATGAACTCCCCACATGAAAAGATGGAACTGGGAAGTCAGCAATGCATTTTCTGTAATAAGCATAGGTTTTTTCTTCTAGTTTTCTTCCTTTTGACAACAAATATTGCATGTTTTCCTGTGATAGAATGTTTTATTTTGAACAGAAGAAAATAAATGTTTTAGATCATACTGCTGGAGTTTCCAGCAGACATTTTATGAGGAGGAATTTTTAGTTTGTCTTCACATTGATATTCAAGATTAGTTCCATTTTTTCTTCCTAATTAGCTTTTCCAAGACAATTGCTTATTTGAAACAAACAGAGTACTTTTCCTCAGGGCATCAGAAACTTAATCTGTCCAATTTCCTTTCAATGGACATTGAAAACAAAGCAGTGTATTGTAACTCACTGGGGAATTAAGAACTATGTGACGTAAAAAATGGAAAAAGCACTATGTAAATAAATTCAACACAGAGAGCAATAAAAATACAGTAATGAAAAAACTTTAAGAAACCTTGTTAATACCTGACAGAACTGCCTGTTCATATTAAAGTCTGTTTGCCTTTCAAAGGTGGTTAAGAGACTAAATTTACACAAAACTGAGGATTTTTATATTCACAACAACACAGTGAGTGATTAGCATTAAATCATTTGGAATATCTTAAACAATCTGAGGACTTTCCAATCACTTTATCCAGTGGTCGTCTTTGTGACTTAAAATATTTTTTCTTAAACTTTGATCATTCTACAAAGATATGAACTCTCTATTTTCCTGAAATCTGAAATAAAAAAAAAATCAATAATACTAAGCATAGAATTACAAGATTATGGTGATAATCTGTAAAGCTGATAATGACTTTTTAGATGGAAGCTACACTCACAAATCTTAGCAATATAAGTAACTGTTGGAGTAGTTTCTGGATTCTGATCAACAAGTCACTAGGAAAACAATTGCAGGTCTTTATTGAAAAATTCTGAAGAACTAAAATGAAAATAATAACCTTTGTGGTGTATTGCACACTACCAGCATAGCCTGCCAAAAAAAGACATCTACAGAATGTTTTTTTAGGACTGCTAACACACAGACTTTCCCACACAGTACACAGTAATTTCTATTGTAACCCATTCATAGACATGTTGCATACATACATGGGTACACAGGTGTGTGTACTATATGTAATACATATATAGACATTATAGAACTTCTTAAAAGTGAATATGCATCTCATTCCTTTGTAGATTTCAACTTCAGCTGTGCCTCTTAAACAGAGTTAGGAAAGGTACTTACTGATGTGTAGAGAAAACCTTCTCCATTTAGGGCTATATACAACCCAGTCTTTACACCCTGGATAGCAACAACTCGAAGTCCAACTGGTATAAGGTTGAATAACGCTGTGAAGAAAAGAAACCCATGACCAGATATGAATATATTACAGTTATTACAGCATCCTAATAAACATCATAAGTAAAAAGAAATAAAACTACCCACTGTATAATCTTTTTTCTGATTTTAAAATTAAACTAATTCAGAAAATCTTGTTTCTAATAAATTAATCCTTAAAATTAAAGTCCAAGTATTTATCTAGCAGTAAGTCTTGCAATAGCTCAGTGTTTGCCACAAGTGCTAACTAGCAAATATAAAGCACAACAGACTGGACTGTAATAATTTATGCAGCACTGCAGACATGAGTATCTCAGGTAATCTGAAAAGAGTCAAAGAGCCCAACAGTTCCTTCATCAATATAGACTGATTGTAAGGGTAATATTTGTGAGATAACCTACAGAAAATGTATCTGTCCGATTCTGGCAAGCAATTTTTTATTTTCTTAGGCATTTTTATGGTTTTGGACTGAGATGTGCTCTTATTAAAGATTGCTTTCAAGGGGTTTGTGACTTCAAATCCATTTTGTTGGTTTTGGGTTTTTTTAAATGATATATTTGATACAAGCAATAGTACACAGGCCTCAGATAATGGCAGAGGCTTATCCTACTTCAGAAAAGCACTGAAATATGCACTTGACTCTAAACGTGAATAAATGCTATGGAGCTGGACATAGAACATGTTCAAAGACTGATATTCTGGGTAAGAAAGAAAAAAAAATTAAGATCCCACCTAAGAGCAGATACCCTAGCAATGGCTTATACCTCTGTAATAACAAAAACAGACACAGCTTGTATTAGTGTCTGATAAAGGCCGGTGTGAAGAGTGGGAGTTTACCAGCCTCACCACAGAACAACAAAAGAAAAAGTGATGTAAGCAGGGGACACAGACCAATTCTTCTAAAACTTATGCCAGCAGACACCTATACTAAGTTTACTGATTCATACTAGGAAATCAGATGCAAAGCACACATCAGTCTTGGAAGAAAAGATCTGGATGAGCCAGAGTTCATGTTAAGTGTTTTTCCGCTGTGGATGAGTCAAGGACTCATGAAGTCCTTGGATGAAAACCAAAAATACAACCTGTGTGTTCAATATTTGCAGTGAAGAACACGGTTCCACCAAGCCAGATCTCAGGAACACAGTAACACCTACAGTGAGTTCCTCCACATTGAGGAAGGACATCCATAGGTGTGACCAGAAAGTGTATACTACTGGGCTATCTGTAATCAAAATGTCAGGGCTAAAGCCCAGAACAAGAGAAAAAGGGTCATGTAATTGAAGTGAATAGGTACATTTTGACAAGGTGTGAAGAACTGTAGTTGGTCAAACGACACAAAGCCACAGATCATTTATGATGAAGATGATCAAACCTCTACAAGTGAGAAAAAACATACGTTGACTACCAGAATTTAAAGATAGAAGTGGGTAGAAAAACCCAAAACCCTTTCTTTCAACATTGTCATGGAGAAAAAGAATATAAAACATAAGGTCTTTTTAGGAACCCACAAAGCCAGTGTAACACTGGGAACTGCTGTAACAGAACACTTCCTATAGTTGTAGAAAGAACAATATATTCAAAAGAGCTCTGGGAGAACCAAAAACCAATTTATGTGTTTACAAAGAAGAATATAAGAGATGACATCAGACAAAAATTAACACAAATATGTAGTATTTTCATTTCTGTAGTTTCCAAAAGTCTCTGTCATGGTAAGATCTTACTGGGCTGTTCAGTAGAAAAATAACTGGGTACAGACAAGGTTCCCTCTATAATCTATACAAGATGAATGTAAACCAGTGAAATATGACACTAAGAGACAAGATAGCCTAAGAGTATATAGGCTAAACACTGCATGACTTGAGGGTTTTCAAATTTTCAGTATAATTTAGAAGTGAAAGAAAACAATCAGCCATTACCCTAAAATTAAACCATTCTAAACCCAGCAAAATCACTTTGTGGGGTGTGGAGTTGGAGTCTGTCACAGCAAAACTAGGTTTCAGATGGCAGTTAATTTTGTTTTTTCTTAGAAGAAAAGAAATTCCAGGAGGAAAACTGGATATGAACACCATGTTAGCGAGAGGGCAGCATCAATTGAGGGGGCACCAGGAAGGAAAAAAAATACTTGCATAAAGAAAAAAGGTGAACATAAAAGACAAGTCAGCCATGGAAAGCTGTTAATGAAAAATAACTACAAATCATAGTGGTTTAGTCAAAACCTCTGGAATGTAGATATAATTTGCTGTATAAATAATAAAAATAAAGCAGTAAAGATAGGGTAAACAAAACAAAACAAAAAA